AGTGTGACCTGCATAATGAAATTTGCTTTGGTAGAAGGGAGGTTCCTCAAGTTGTACAGAAAGCAGGAAAATAGTTGCCTTTCTCCTCATGGTTTTTCTAAGTTTTGCTTGGTGCTGTATTCATCATATGCTGCTCATCATCAACTGTGACGAGTAAAATGCAGAAAAAAAAGAAATCACTAAGCTGAAATCTTTTAAAGTATTATTTTGATCTCCAAAATCTCATTCCAAATTATGCTTGGAAAATGTTGGCCGTGACAGCCATGTCTCCTCTTTCCCACATCCCAGTGAGCAAGCCAATGATACATCTGTTCAGAAGAAGTTTAGCTCTTATTAGTAGCATCGCTAGATCATCTCTGTCATTGCCAAGTCTTGTGCTGGTGCTAATGCATTGTCGTTGTCTTGATACCCTGGAATTTGGCTATTAAAGCTCATCTGCTTGTGCTATCCCAGGTCCAGTACCATGACAGGAATGCATGTTACTGGATGCATGCACTGTCCAAAGGCCTCAGTTCTACCCAGCTTTAATCTTGTGTTCAGCTTTAAAGACTTGGAGGACATTCACAGGCCTTTCACTTGTCCAAAAGCCCCTTCACACCACCAAGTGCAAAGGAGATATTGCATGTAGCCAAGTTCTGCTGGCTGAAGTACACACACAGGAGAAGAGTAGGCTGGACCACCACACCTATTACAACTTTCCATGTGGATGCTTGAAGCTTGTAAAAAGAGGAAATACTTCATAGGTAATATTGTGGACCGCTCATGGAATTTTTACACCTCTGATGAACTCCACAGCTTGTGCTAAGGATAATGATGATCCTTGCTGCAAGGCTCCACCCCACATGCTAAGTAAATTCCTGCCATTTTCTATCCTTCCTGCATTATTCTGATCCAATTAAAGTCATTGCAGCTAAGTGAAAAGTTGTGATTGACTAATTGGATTTGGAAAGGCAGAACACCCATCGGGAGCCAGGTTTAATTTAGGTTTCCTTAAAATTTCTAAGGCCACTGGCAGGCTAGAAGAGGCAGTTCCATCTTTGGTTGGCTCCAGCTCGGAAAAAAGGGATTAGTTAGTTGCTGAGTGAGCTCCCTGCTGCCTCGTGTCTATGGAGCTTTCCAATTCCAAGGCCTCTGTTAGAGTCTTTCATTTTTTGGAATGCATCTTCTACAGTGGTCCTTTACATATCTCTCCTATGCCCCTTCTATGTCTCTTGTTCCCAGTTTGGTCCTGCACCATTCACCATCTCTTCTGCTTACTCCACACATCAGTGCAGTCCCCTCTCCAGAAACAGGCCTTCCCATGGTCTTGAGGGGCACTTCTGTGCAAGTCATGTACATGGCTGGACTGCACTCCTGGATGTGGGACGTGACTGAAATTTCTCTGAAGTCAAGTGGAAGTTTTACCAGTATGGTTGAAGAGGTTCAACACATGGAAAGCTCTAAGCACTTCTCCAAACTCTGAGTGGCCAACTCCTTTCCAAGTGCCCTGGATGCAGATCCCTGAGGTTCCAACCACGTAGTGAGATACATACAATAAAAGATCAGTTTCCATGAGCATTTAAAAGTGACCAGAAGCCTATCTGTGATATTTCCAACATAAGTCATTAAAAAAATGATACGCCATATCTGCTAAAACCAGAAGTTTCACTGAAATATTAAAATAATTAATCATATCATAGATTCTGAGTACCTTCTGAATTTTAAGCTTCTAATAAGTACTCAAGCTATTTATTCTGATTTACTGCTCAACTTGGAATAGAAGCATTTAAAAGATAACAAACTGAATGGACCACTGATATTGTCATATCCTCACGTGATTCTAAAAGCTGCAGAAACTTCATGAAACGTGTAATAAAAATAAAGATTACTAACACTACCACCCAAACACACAATAAGCCACTTGGATAAGGGCAGTAACAGTCAAAATGCCTCCTAGCAAACATTAACAACAATAAACAATATTTAAGGTGGACTACAAATTTTCAGTTTTGGGACACTTTCAAAATACCTTTATATTTTTTAGTTTGGCCCTTCTGTTTTCCTTTCTTTCTTTTCTTTTCTTTTTTTTTTTAAGATCATGTCTAACAATTTAGAAAATCTCACGTATTTCCAATCTTGCACCCAAAACACAAGACTTCCAAGATGAGCATGTTAAGAACCCTGTCTATTAATACTTGTAAACATTTTCAGCATCAAATACTTGGAAGAAGAAATCACTTGAGCCATCACCTGCCATATTTCTGCTCCTATTGAAAGAAAAGTGTTAAAGAGGAACAGCCAAAGAAACAAATCCCTTCACTCCTACCTGTTACTTTTTTTTTTTTTTTTTTTTTTTTTTTTTTTTTTTTTTTTTTTTTTTTTTTTTTTTTTTTTTTTTTTTTTTTTTTTTTTTTTTTTTTTTTTTTTTTTTTTTTTTAGAAATCATTATTTTTACTTTGGTTGACAACTGCAGTGGAAATATACTCCCTTTTCCACTATTTCTAACCCACTTGAGGATTTTTCAGGGCCTTTTTCAAGGGTTCAACTAAACCCTTTTTTGCAAGCCTGGTCCTTTCCCCAAAGGATGTTGCTACCAACAAAATTTTAACATCATCACTGTTTTTACACAAATGCCTAACACATGATTCTTTCCTTATGGTCTTGTCAGTATAGGAGCACAAGCCAGAAATTGCCAGGACATAAGTTCCCAGCTCCTCCAGATCTTGGCATTGACTGTCTTTCAGAATCTGGCCCCTGAGGCTTTGCAGTTGGCTCTTGAAAAGAAAAAGGGCCCCTCCTTAAAATCACAGTCCGTGCAAGTTTGTGTCTTCCATGAAAATTAACATGCTGGACAGCAGATGGGACAAACACATGCTAGAGGCCAGATCCTTATGCTGGTTACACCAGCATCATCTGCAAACTTGAGGGAACAAGGGCAAACAACAGAACTAGAGCAATTTACATGAGCAGTAGGTCTGCCTTCCTGCTAGCTAACAGTAACAGTCTGGATTTTCAGGCATGGGCACGGAGAGGAAGAGAGACAAAAATTACTACCTTTATACAAAATTGCAGCCCACTACAAAGCTGTCCTAAAAGGACCAGTGCTGTGACATTTCACATCTGATTCAGATGCTTTAAAAAAACCAAAGAACAACACACCACCATACCACTTTGCCAAGGAACAGACTCCACAACTGCCTTTGGAGAGCCAAACAGCCTCCAGGCATACAAAGGTGACTTAATTTCCCCCTGTCTTCTCACAGTGCCTCATTTACACCTTCTCAAAATACATACTTATGGCAAAAATAATGACAGTGCAGTCTGATGGAAGATTCCAGCAGCATCCTGCAAAAGAGCAAAATCCATGATGTTCAGGCAGCGCACAGAAGAACGATGTGTGACACTCTGCAAGAAAGCACTTCTTCCTTGGAAAGTCTTGACTCTTTGACTGGAAGACCCAGATCCTGAACCAGTTTTCTTCCCTTTGCCCAACTCTCCCCTTGATTCTTGGTCTCACTGATTTGAGAACACTCATTCTTTCTCACCATTTCTCTTTCATAACTTTTGTCTGGTAACCCTCTAGGCCAGAAGGACCATAAAAGCTTGTGTTCTACCCAAGTCCTCTTTTTCTGATAAAGTTTTCACATATTCTTTGGGATACAAAGTCTTCAGTTCCTTCCACTCAAGTTACACGTAAACAGTATTTATTCCTTTGTACTTTTCAACAGGAATTGGCACTAAACTTCTTAAGGGTGCTGTGAAAATTCCCAGTGGATGCTAGACACAGCAGGGATTACATATCTAGATAGTCAGACCTGATAGACACTCATGGATTTCTGAAAACAGTAAATTTAGTATGAGCATCTCTGCTTTTGGATCCTCCAGCAAATATAGAACAAAGATTTCTGTGCTCCCAGGTCAAATGTGTCTCTTTCATGGACAGGCTCTCTGGACACATCTGGCATGCTATCAGAATCATTTCCATTCAGTTTGATCCAATGTTCATCAAAGTCAATACTGACATTTCCTGGGTCATGCCAGAGGTCCAGTAATGCTCTATACCTTCCTATATGTAATCATTTAATTGCCTCCCACTAATTACTTCTGCAGGGAGCTGTAAGATTTTCTATCTGCAACACCTCTTCCTGATGGTCTGTGGATCAAGTCTTTACCCAGAAGAAAGGGACTGGCCTGACCCATGTTATAGGAAGGGTTTTGCAGGCCCCTCTGACCCACAAGAGGCTCAACAGCAAGCAAGGGAAAAATACATTTATCATCACTTATATTGGTCAGGATCTATTTCCTGCAGGGCTCTAAATCAGGAAACTCCAGTCACATCTATGTGTACACATATGCATGTCTGTACGAATGTGCAAAAACAACTGACCCCAAAGGTCAAAGAGGACTGCCACTCCAAAATATAAAAAAGCTCTCAGCTCAACTTCAAGGAAAAGGCAAAAGAAAATGATTAGAAAGAGGAAGAAAGCAAGAGAGACAGAGATAAAGAGAAAAAACCAAGGGGAAGATGATTTTCTATCAACAAAACAGCAGGGACGAATTCTAGTTCATCTCATTGGAAACATCTCCTTCATGTGCAAACACCGCCTGGAGCCAGCACTAATCTCCCAGATTAAAGCCTTTTAATAGCAATTAGTCCTCTCTGCACTAACCCACTGGACACTCCAGTGCATATTTGGGAAAGGGGGGAGACTAGAGGGAGTGTCACCAACCATTTAACTCATAAGTGCCCTGATGTGTCCAAATCCTTATCATACACACACATTTGTGCACAGGCCAGGATGCCGTGGCAGTGAAACCTGTTTGGATTGCAGGGGACCACGACAGCTAGATCTGGGTGTTACATGTGTAAATACCCAGGTAAGCTGGATCAAGCCCAGATCCATGAGAGAGAATTTCAAAATGGCATTATGGCAAGCCAGAAGCATTAGCCAGCTACAGTCAGAAGCACTAACATACTACCAGCTCCAAGGGCTATCCTAGCTGGCAGCAAGAGACAGTCGCAGGCAACAAGATGTCCTTAGAGCTACCTTCATGCTACCAGCCTGTTGAAGCAGCCTTGGTACTGCTCCTCCCTGAGACACCTTCGACCATCTCTGGAGAAAAGGAAGAGGAGAGATTTTTTTGAATTGTTTTTGTTTGGCTCATCTCCATAGCCCATCAAAGGTCTTGTGTGATCTCTCGGGGAGTGTTTACAGGAAACACGAGCTGATGTCCTATCTGGGTCTGGCAGAGGGCCTCCACCTCCTGCACAGATTGCTACACCAAGAAAGGTAGATCCTACAGAAAAGAACCTCAGATTGCACACCAGCCCCTATTAACAAACTGAGCAGCTTGGCTGAAATGGCTCAGAGAGGGAAGAGGAAAGTAGGGGACACTGGTGCGAAACAGCACTGTCTGCAGAGAGACCCTGAACATCCCAAATGGCAAGCCAAGCAGAATTTCTTGGAAGGAGCCACATCAGCTGCCCTTCAAGCTATCAGACCACACAAACAGGACAGAAGAAAACCTTCCAAGAGGTGACTGTAGGAAGGGGAGGAAAAACTACTCTGAACAGCTTTCACCCTCTTCCTCCCCTCCTCCCAGCAGTGGGAGCTGCCAGAACCCCTGCACAACCCTGTGGTGCCCCCCACTCTCTAACACACACACACACACACCATCCACAGGGGTAGTGCAATTACTATTCAGGCTGGGGGCTGAAGATAGTCTCCTGGCCCTTCTTCTAATGTAAGGTTATTGTAATTGATATGAAGGTAATTGATAATGTGTTACGGTGAATAATGTCTTCAATTTTCTGCTAAATCCCATTTTTGTAGCCATCTGGGCTCCTCCAACTGCCCCCCTGGGACGCAGAGTAATAGATAGTAATTATTCTCAAGTCATTTACTTTTTCAAAGTGTTTAGTGCTTATCTGTTTTACAATTAAAATGGAAACGACCCTGATTCACTTCCTTTCTTTTTTATTTAAATAGCATTCAGACACACACACACTCTCCTACACGCCCTGGAGCCTGGAGGGTGTGTGCCTGTATGTGCAAGTGCATGTGTGCGTGCATATTATTGTCACAGAGAAACACGCAGGACAGAGGTATGTAGTTCCTCATGCACCTTTCACTTTGAGGCACTGTAAGAGCACAATCACACAGCACTAAGAAATACAAATTGTGTTCCTTTCCCCCCCGCCCTCCTCCCGCTTGTCCCCATGGTGACGAGCAGAGTGAATGCCTCAAAACACCCCACAGAAACACCCCTAGGGAGGGATGCATCCAGCACACAACTTAACGATACACACCTCAGCAAACCTCAGAAACACTACACTACCCCAATACTGGTAATCTGTATAAAGATAAACCTGCAAGCTTTAATAACACAGGCACAGTTATACCTAGAAGAATACAGCTAATCATATAAATGCTGAGACCTATATTAATATACAGCAGTACATGCCAGAATATACATATAAATAAACTAATGCAAGCTATTAAAAGCACCACCAATGAAAAACATACTTTGCACAACAGCTAAACCTATTTCAGCATATGATTCAAACCTCCCCAGTGTTCTGTCCCCTTTGAGTTCTGTCTCAGCTTGTGGTATGCTAGGTGAGACATAAACATATCTACCATGTTCATGGGGATCCACTGTGCTAGAATTAAGGATTTCTGTAACAGTTGTAGACTAAGCCTTGGTAACCAAAGCACAGGAACATCTGCAGCCACAAACTGCCTCAGTGAAACACTAGCAAGGAGGGCTAATAGGAAAATGGTCCAGGAGCTTTCCTGCGGCCAATACTTGGGTGAGAAAATCCAAGTCATTTGAAGCGTGCAGAAATAAACCCAGGGGAAATGCTGCTGTTTCTGTGATGGTTTGAGGAGGAACCTGAACCAGTGACTGTGTCAGACCCAGGCAAGTGTGTGGCCTGTAGGGCTTCAGAAAGAGATTCTTCAAGTAATCTTCAGATGCTCTCCCATCACCATCTCTGTCCCCAGCCTGCAGGCCACTCTTACTGCAACAAAAATTATCTCACTACTATCTTAAAGTTCCTGCCTTTGTCACAGAGTCCTAACACGACATGTTCGGGCAGGTACAGACGGGTGTTGAAGCAGACGCTGAGGGAAGTGGAGATGGTGAGGATCTTGGGACAGCCCTCCACAGTGCTTTACAGGCTCCAGGCTGCAAGCCCTTATCCAGAACTCAAATATCAAACATTTTAAAGATGACTGGCCATATCCAGTCATAATTCAGAACACGTGAGTGGCTGGCATCCAAAAAGCCCAGACTTCTGTATCTCAAAACAGACTCAAAATTTAGGCAACTATTTTTAGAAAACCTTTACGGTACTGTATTTGGATTATAAACCAGATCTTTCCAGACCAGACACAACCATGTAACCTTGGAGCTCAAATCCTCCCTGGAGACAGGACAGGAGGAACCAGGTGGTCCATCCCACTCTTTGCTCCCCAGCTAGAGCAGTTGTGAACAGAGGCTGATACTTCCCCACAGCAAAATGGAGGAGAGACACTGCCCCCCAGGATGGTATCTTGCACACTATTCCCTCTCCAAAAGCCAAACCTTTGCCAATTTCAGCAGCTGGATGATTCAACCTTGTGTAATAAATTTAATTCTGCAGATATATATTTTTTCCCCATCTGAACAATCAGATGACAGCTTCCACAACCAGCCCCACAACCCATATCACCACTGCCCCAGCAGAAATACACTCAAGGCTTTCCTCCGTTCTCCCAGTAAATCGCTGGAGTGCTGCTGTCCTTTGCTGTCAAGGTGAGGGTGGCCCAGACCTTTGAGCAGGAAGATCCTGTTGTTCTTTTGTTCGAGTTTATTTGGAGCTGTTTAGTTTTTTTTCCTCCTCCTCTTCCGTCTCTTTCTGTTTCCTTTTTAATTCTTTTTAATGACTTTCTCCGATGCAATCGGCAGAGGACCACGCAGAGACTGCTTCCCCCTGCTGAGAGGGAAACAAGAGTGAGGAAAAAGGGCACCAAGGGAACTGTTCACATTCTCTATTCATCTCTGCCAGCCTCTGTTCCCTGGTGACTAGCCCCACACAGCCCAGCTGTGTGGAGTTAGCATGGAACGAAGTAGAACCTGAGCCAGGAAAATCCCAGCCGGCACCACGGGATCTGGCTCTGTCAGCCCTGTCAAAGGCTGTCCTAGGTGTCCTAGCCATGAGAATGGCCCTTATGGTCCTACCACATGGGCAGCAGTGTGGGCTGAGGAGGGGAAAAATGTGTTGTTTTCCACGAGTCCAGCAGAAGTCCCACACACAGAGAGAGTGGCTGGAGACCACAGCTCAGCTACTCGGGAACACACATGAGCGCAGCAGCTTGGGAAACCTGCTGCTGGGAAGCCAATGAGCGTGGAAGAAGCAAGCTTAAGACTCCTGCAGTACTCACAAACTCTCTAGTCCAGGCACTCCCAAGTGATGCCATCTTTTGTTCCAGCAGCTCCCCCACCTCCAACTTGGGAATGAGCTTGGTAGAAGCCAGATGGCTCTTCCTCCATCTGCTCGCTGGCACTTGGCTGCATATGCATCAGGGAGCAGGGTGACTATCTGGGCAGGCAGGACTGCATAGTGGAAGCACTTTGCAAGGAATCAAAGTTTGCTCCAGCTGGTTGCATTTGGTGAGGATCAACGCCCTCTCCCACAGGCTCCATCTCAGCCAGTTGCAGGGAGCACCTCACCTTGGCAAACAGCCTCTGCCCTGCCCTGCCCTGCACGTGGGACAGCTCTGGAAAAGCTCCTGCTGCCATTGCAGGCTCTTCTGATTGCCAGGCTGCTGCTAACGAGCCATGCACGTTCCAGGGTTGCAGGGAGAGGGGGAGAGTTCTGAGCTGACACTGGCCTGGGCTGGAACACAGGATCTGGTGGCTGGTGAAAGGCTCATGTGCTTACCGTACTGCAGCTCCGCAGGGGACACCTGTCCCAAACGATCCCTCCCCTAGGAGGAGCCTGTTTAATTCTTAGTTTTTTCAGCACCAAAGAGGAACTGTGATCTCTGTTGCACGGTATAAAAGTTGTTTGATAATCAATTATCTTCCAACCAGGAAATTTCAAAGCATTTTGTACCCAATAGCTTGCTAGCATTGCTTTCTGTCGGGGGAATACATAGCATGTGCTCTATGTTTTCATTGATTTTGGAGGTTTTCCATGAGGGAAACGAAAAAACCTCAAACTAAAAATTCCTTTGAAGTTCCCACTGCTCTGTCAGCTTTCAAGCAGATGAAAAGGATGCAAAAAAAGCAATGGGAAAAAAAGCAATGCAATGACCCAGGTACTTTCCTGTTGAGACAGATACATCCAGACCATCCTTGGCTGAGGTATATTCTGAAGCACCTCCAGACAAGATCCCAACATCTGCGTGGTGATCTCTATGGTGCTTCTATGCTCCATGAGTTAGCAAAGGCTTTTACTACATCATCTCCCTCCATTATAGGGATACTTGTTTCTTTCGGCTTATTAGCAGGTAAGCAGAGAAAATGGTTGTTTACCTGCTTCTTGATATCTTTCATTTATACCCTGGGAAACTGAGCTTTTTACACGCATAGCCTTCTCCTCCGTTTTCACATAAAACAATTCCTTAACCTTTCCTCACAGACCCTGGTTTCCAGCCCTATGGCAGCCTTCAGCACTATACAAGACTCTACTGCACTATTCCAGAGAGCTGCTGGGACCTCTTGTGTCTCAGCACTGATAAAATGCAGACCCTAACATCATCTTACTGCAAGAGTGCAACATTTGTGTCTCCCACACAGCTTGAACTCTGCCCTCCCCCTAGACAGTGCACTAGTTCCCCCATTCCTTAATCAGATGCAAACTGAGCCTTTGCATCAACTGAATTACCCAAGTTTAATTTATTTCTCCAGCATATCAAGCTATTTTGAGTTACAACCCTGTCCTCCAAAGTTTGGAGAGTTTGCTACTCTCTGGTTGGTTTTTATTTTATTATTGAAATCTCTAAAATATTGATCAGAACTCAGTCCAGGCCAATCCCCTGCAAAACCTCCTCCCTTTTCAAGGAATAATTGCATCACAGTTGAGGGCCACTTTGTGTCCAGACACAGTAACAAGCACAAGTGGGAACCTCTTCCAAGTTGGCGGCTGATCCAGCCACACCCTGAATGAGTGCAAACGAAGTATTATAAAGGAGCAGGGGGTGGAAATCAGCTCTGAAAAATCAAAATAGTGGTTCAGCCAAGAGTGACTGATAGTGGGAAACTAGTTTTCAGCTCAAGCTGTGGTAAAAATCTAAGGAAATCCCAGGACTACAGTTCCAGATGAAACACTTGTTGACAGCCATTCTCTTTCTGACCTAATGGTCTGGAAGAGAGGAAGAGAGAGAATCTGAAACCCTCAGCAGATTGTTTCCAGGTCTTGCTTTTCTCTTGCAGTTCACAGTATATGTGGATGCCAAGCAGCAGCAGGGGAGAATCAAAGGGGTTAGATGGTGTGCTTTCCTTCTGCTCTGCCATCCTATAGCAACTCATCCTGGTGAAGAAAACCAAGAATGAAAAGATCTGAGGTTGATAAAAGAGGAAAAAATAGAAAAGGAATATAGCAAAACCTGAAACTTCTTGAAATATTCTTGAGTAAAAGTGTTTCTAACACAAGAATAAGACAGTGCCTTTATCAAAAGCTTTCTTCACAATATCTTAGTTAAGAAAATGCATAAGTGTGGAAGCCTCTCTGTGAGGATACTTAAACCATTGGGTTGAAATAGCAGCACCACAACAGAGCATAGAAGGGTATTTACAGCGATTCTCTTTTCTGCTCACTGCAATATATTTATCAGTCAGTCTTCCCCTTAGTATGTGATGCAATCTCCAGGTCTCCTGCAGGACTTTCAGGGTTGCAGATTGACAGACTGTTCTAGGTGCAAAGCCAAAACAATTACATCCAGGTAGACACTGCACAAACTCAGAGTTGCACAACCCCATGGGCCTGTCCAAAGGGAACAGAGACAATGGCAGTACAAATGCTCCTTGAACAAAGCAGCAGGGAGATTTGGCAGATACCCGAGCAGTGACATGCTGGCCGTTAGCCAGAGGGTCCAGCAGCCTAACAGCTCTGGTTGTGCAGTACAGCAATAACCACTCACAGCCACAGGGGAGTTTGTTGAGGCTTCTGAGCAAGGCTCTTAATCATCACTGTTGCTCTTAGTGCCCATGAGCAGAAAATAACACCAAAACTTAAATGTTCTCAACACTGCACCACAGGACAGTACCAACAGGACTGCTGCAGATTGCTACACAGCAAACTGCCAGTTCCAGCCACTCCAAGCCCATCCTAAGCAAAATTATCCCACATTTTTGCTCTCCTTTACATTGAGGAACTCCTCTAGTGAGCAACTCCTGGTTTTCGTACGTTACAGACCACAAGGCAGAACCAAGGTCAAGCTGAGAAGTCAGTGCATACATTGGCGTCTGGATTGACAAGACCCATAGTGGGTACAACAGTGCCTGATCCACTGATAGCCACTCCTCCAACATTACACAGTCGGAGGCTGAGGGCCCATGGACAAGCTTAACATCTCATTCCGCCCAGAACATCCCCTTTCTGTGTTCCTTGACATATATGTCTTCTAGTAAGGCACCTTCGTGATGGAGGGATGGCAAATAGCATGTCTCAAACTCAGTCTCTACTGTCATTTGTTAAGACCAATGCATTCCTCAAAGCTATGCCCGGCTCTGGAGTCTGATTCGAGCTCTCCCTCGGGAGCCTAATGAAGCCCATATTAATCCTGGGAGCACATCCCAGCGCGCAGCTAAAGGCCACACCTTCAGCCCAGCGTCACTCGGTGGAACAGGGCAGCTGTGGCAGGAGATGGGGCACTGCACTGAGGTCAGCTGAGCTTAGGCAGGAACTGAGACAGACCAGGCCCCCTCACCCTGCCAAAGTCTGCACATGTCTCTCCTCTCCTTGTCCAGGCAAGACAGCAGCACAGAGGTCAAGGTGCTCTCTTTCAACTCCTTTTCCCCTGATCTCCATCCTCCTCACACCCTGCAGGGCATCCAACACACCAGCCCTGCACGAGCCAGCTCCAGCAGCCAGGTGGGTATCTCTGCTGTCCCGCTGCCGTTCCCTGGCTCTCCTGCTGCCTGCAGCCAGGAAAGCCCACTCCAGCCCACTCCAGCCTGCCCAGGGTGGGCGAGCGGGCCGAGGCAGGTCGTGTATCACCCGGGGCGGGGGCCGAGGCGCGTCCCCTCAAGATGACTTCAGTTGCATTCCAGCGAGCCTGGCAACCTCCCGCACACACAAATAAAAGGAAATGAGAAACTTGGCAACAAAGAAACTGGCAGGGAAGCCACAGAGGCACAGAGGAACGGGAAAAGAGATTAAACACAGGCTCAAGAGCCCCAGCGTGCTGAGCCTTCCTCTCTAAAGCCTCCCTTTAACTTTGATGGGGGGGCACAGGAGTCTTCTTTGCACTTGAAAGGCCAAGAGGAGGGGCTGGATAAAAGGGATACAGCATTATCCGGAATTGAGAGCACAAGAACACGCTACAAAGCTTTAAAAAAAAAAAAAAGTGCAGGCACCCAGCCTCTCTATATACTTTCCTTGGTGGAAATCAAGAACTAAGATCTGAATCTGGCCAGAGAAGAGATCAAAGTGGAGACATTACAGGAGGAAGTTTAATAATACAAAATAGCCTGATGAATTCTCTTCCCAAGTTACAGCTTTTTTTTTTTTTTTTTTTTTTTTTTTTTTTTTTTTTTTTTTTTTTTTTTTTTTTTTTTTTTTTTTTTTTTTTTTTAGCAATAGGATAACATATATTTGAGGCCCTGCAATTTATAATAGCAGACACTGATTTGTATTTATACTATATGCTATCTAAGAGTCCATCCCAATATATTAGACCGTTGGTGTTTCTGTGTGTTGGGATAACTCATAAATGTGCTATGGTGCTTAGAATTTTTGGGTGGCAGTGGAACTATTTAAATCAATCCATTGCAATACTGAGACAGAATTCACCTGCAGTGTATACTGCAGAATCTACAGTACACTTTAAGGTTTGTGTTAAGATCCATTCAGAAGCCTGTGCTTTGTACATCATGAGCTGGGTGATTTCCTGTACAGAGTATGTATGTTGTGGAGCTGAGTGATCATAGATACAATATCTACCTTGCTCTTTATGTATCATTAAACATCAAGCACTTAGCTGGATCTAGAGTGGGGATGAAGACAATCCTTTCTTATCAAGGGGAGAGATTGTTTCAGAAAGTAAATGGGAAATGCCCACAAAGCCCCACACAAACCCTTCTCTCTCGATGACAAAGGACACACTCTCTATGCAGTTGTGGCAGTGCAAGGCAATAGGCAAAGTATTTGCACCAGGCCTGAGAAGAGCCCAAAGCAGTTGTTTTTCCAGAGCTAAACTCTGATTCCTTGAATGAGCTAGTTTCCTCTTATGAAACACACTGGGATGTTAAAGGATTGCTAGTAGAGAACCAACTTACTCCTTCCAGACACACACATATCACACACTTGGAAGATGATATTTCTTATTATTCCTTAAACAATCATAGCAGGTAGCAACAAAATGTCAAGGGGATCCATGGGACTCAGAAGACCTGAATGATCAGGCTGTATAAACTACCTGTGAGAGCACAGGCCTGTGTCACAGCACTGTGGCAGCTACCTTGGAGAATCTTCTCCCAAACAGACATCATCACATGAGCACTATCTGCCACTGATGCAAAGGTATCTCAGTGCCACAGACGTCTAGCATCACAGATGCCTGACTGAGCATCCATGTATCATGAATCGCCTCAGTACATGGACTGGGACAGCAGTGAAGAAATGGATTAGGACTGGGACAGTAAGCTCCACTGGAACATGAATGCAGCAGATCTAGTGGATAACTCCTCTGATTTCTGGCTCTGTGGATCAGAACCAGTGCCAAAAAGTGGGGTTCCCGTTGATCGGGAAAAAACCCACATCCTGACATACTTACCTGGTGATACGGTGAATCGTGGTGACTACAAAATTTTAACTGTCTGGCCATTCTGCACAAAGGAACATAAGGCTGGTCAGATATTCATGTGTCCTCTTCAAAGGGGAGATAACAGGTTTCTGTTCACACTCCACGTAACAATTGGTTCATACAGCATGTCAGAGGTGCCACTCTCTCCAAGGTTCTGAGGTCTATGCCCAAGCTTCTTTTGCTGAAAAGAAGGGGAAAAGAAGAATAGAGAAGCAAATTTTTCTGTGGGATCTGCAGCATTCAACATCAGATGAGAAATTTTCCTTCATGACTTCATTCACAAGAAGACCTGTGATCCTTTGATTCCTTTAAATCCCTAAACTCAGATGGAGAGAGGATTTCCAAGTCAAAGGGATGGATTCTTGGCTGTATAAGCACAGTGGTTCCCAAGAGAACCTTAGGCTGAATCAATGGACAAGGAACATTTTCCAAAATAGTTGTAAGTTGGAAAGTTCAAGCAGAGGGACAGTGTTTTCAAGACAGTATGAAGCAATCAGAATAAAGCTGGGATATTTCTTTCTACATCTGCTACTGTATCTTGGTGAGCATCTAACCTACTCTGGACCTGGACTTCCCCATTTGCAGAATGGAAAATGAAGAGGAGGTGGTCCTTACCTCCAGCTTAGACTTTCTACAGAATATAGGGACAGAGTTCAAAAATGCTCAGTTTTCCTTTCTATGAAGCAGATGAGCTATATTCTTAACCTCCTTTTTCCCAGGGGGTAATGCTTCCTCTCCCACTGCTCCAGATGGGTTTAGAACTGAGAATACCCTGTTCACGGCTTCTGGCCCACTGCGTGTCTTACTTAATCTGCAAAAATACCAACCTAAAACTGCACTCCCTGGCCTGGAAAAATGAGGCTATTGGAGCTGCCCTGGCAAAGGCTACATGGTAGTTCTGTGGCATCACATCTCTGTCCTCATAGGATGTGGGCTGCAAGCTGACTCCGCTTAGAGAGAACATTAACTACACCTCTTTATTATTGAGAAGAAATTTATTGGAGACATCCCTCCCTCTCTCCAGCTTCTCCTTTACCTTCGCAGAAAAGTAAACATTTAATTTTTTTTGTTGTTAATAGATTTAATGTTCATTTGTCGGTAGCCTAGGGGCAGGAACGCATGACATTTCAAATAATTGTTGTTTCGGGGGTATCCTCTGGAGGAAAATGCTGCAAAAGTGTGGAGAAGATTTAAGTAAATTACTGTGTCAGCTTCTATTTATTCCTTACATGATTGCCAGAGGCAGGGCTGCGAGATAACCATTAGAGGCCCAGCCATAAAACAGGGAAGCAGAATTTCAAAAAGCCGGAGTGCCATTACTGGAAAGTTAGTGTGTAACATGTTAAATTATCCCCAAAGTAGGGGGAGGCAGGAGGGGGAAGCCACGTGCCTAAGAGTGAGAGAAAAGAAAAAGAAAGGAAGAAGGACTGTGTAAGTGAAGGGAAGGAGTTGCTCCCTGAGGAAAGAGTGAAAGATAGATAGATAGATAGATAGATAGATAGATAGATAGATAGATAGATAGATAGATAGATAGATGAAGAAGAAATGAAAACTCAGGCAATTCTTGAGTATAGCTCTGAGGGCCTGCCATGATGCTTGAGGACCTTTGGAGCAGGGTGTCCAGTTTTGGAGGCCTGTCTGATGGTGTTGAGGTGAAATGTCTCAGGAAGAAGAATAGCTGGGCACTATGCTTGAGGTGTTTAAAAGCTACATGATGATTCAGCTGAAGTGGAGCGAAACAATTCCTTTCCCAGTAGCCAGAATAGGCTGCAGACCTGGCAAATCCAGTTGCATCTGTATAAGTAGTTTGGGCCTGGTTCCCTCCCATTTTGTTGCCACAATATCTCTTGGGAGAAACCAGGGGATTTAAAGAGAGTCCAGTTTCCTGATCATTGAGGTATCTTGGCTCAAAAGAAAGATGTAGGCACCAATATACCAAACTAGCCCACAGCATGGGGCCGTGTGGTGGAGGCATGTCCCATCTGTCCCATCTGTCAGGACCCAGGACACTATTCCCTCTTGTCCCATCTCAGCCTTTGCCTGGCTCACAGTGAATTCTTGGAGGTTTACTACATAGTGCAGGGAAAGTGCGTGGGGATGAAAGTCTCAGCTACGCCAACAATCTGCAGGACACCCCAACAGCATCTACATGGTGGCTGACTAGTGGGAAGACAGGCCTCTCTACTCAGAACAATCAGCTTCAAGCTGTCCCATATCAGATCCTTCCCATCTTCCACCTCTCAACTGTGGGACAGTGTATCACCCAAAGGACCAGCGTAGGCCAGAGGCAGCCTCAGCTCTGCTTAAGACCATGAACACTGCTGCAAGATGATACTCGGGCTGAAAGTTAAGCAAGTCTTGAAAACAAAAGGGAGGAAGCTTTCCTGGAAGGAATGGGAAATGCTCAGTGTCCCTTTGACACTGAAAGGGACAGGAACCAGCTCATGAGCCACTGGGGGCAGGAGGAGATCCCGTGGAGCAGCCAGCTTGTTGTATCTGCCAGGCAGGATTTCTGTTGGAGTATCTAACACAGCAGGAGAAAGAACTCCTGGCCCTCTGCTGTAATCAGGCCTGGCCCCCCTAATGCTCTCACAAGTCAGCCATCCTTTGCCCCTCACATCTAACATTCCTTGTTGTGTCCATTTGTGCTGCTCTGGACAGACCCTGCCTGTCCTGCACCAGCCTCCTCATCTGCCTCCCTCCACTCCTGTTTATTACTCACGCTCTACAGCTCAGCTCTGCCCTCTCACTCATTGCCCAGAAGATGCCGGTTCTCCCTTTCTTTCAGTGTAATTTATTTACATCATGAAAAACAATTAAGTTCCAAAAAGTCTTATTTACCTCAGAGATCTGGTTTTATCTTCCCCGGCATCACTCTTCATTTGTTCCTGCCATTGCTTTATTTTTCCTCACTCTTTTGTCCAAAGTAAGCTCGGCTGTGTGGGAGGCAAGGGGCTAACAAACTTGGGAGTCGGGTCCAATAGCCCCAGCCTCTCCAAGTCAATGGCTCTGCTCCCACCCTCTCACCCAAGAGGATGAGAGTCCAACCACACACTCAACAATAAATAACCGGGAAGATTTTTTTTTCTTTTTTTTTTAAACGACTCACAAGGAAGACTTGCTGGTTAAATCATTGCTAACTCTCAACCTCCTCAATATTTCTTTGCTAATAGACTTCAGGTTTAATTGAAGGATCTTCTCTGGACTCTGTCTAAGGCACCATTTTCTCTTTAACCCCACCGCTCACAGCCTCACAAAAGCCAATCCATTAAGGGTCTTCATTAGTTTGAGCACCAGCCAACCACCCAAGCGGCAAAGGTCAAACACAGTCACCTGTCACAACATGGCAGTAAAACTACTAATTGTATGGGAACAAATGAGATAAAAAGATGGTACTATTATGCTATTTGATTTATTTTGTTTCCAAAGAGTCATTTAAGACTAATTTACTTTGCAAGCTATAGAGTGGGCCTGTGTGGATAGAGATACTTCTGTGAGCAAACGTAGGTGTGTACATGTGCACGTGTGTCTCTCTCTCTCTCTTGTGGATGTATATACACGTCTGAATATACAGGGGTCTGAAATGCAAGTCTAGGGAATCATAAAGTCATGGCACCATAAAGACTTACATTTAACCCTTCATACAGGCAGAACCCCACATCACACCAAAAGAGCTCTGCATACTGCAGTAGTGGCTCAGAGTCAGTCACATCAGCCCTACTGCTGCCAGTTCACTTGTCTGAGCACCATTCCTCAACAGCCCAGCTGCAATGGCAACAGCCAAGGGGGCCAGTACAGGATCCCATTTTGGAAGGGCACTTGCTTTGGAAACTGTTCTCTACTTTTTTTTTGTGCTCAGGAGGAGAAAATGGCCCACATGCCCTCTGGTGGACACGTGCCACTTAGCAGCTCTAGGATCAAAATGGAAAGCTGGAAGGGGCCATATTTGTAGACACAGTCATCTCTGTAAGAGGTGTTTAAAGGCTTACTCTCTCTCCAGATTGTCCTGGAAATCATGTTCCCAGTACATGTCTGTGGTCACCCACTGAAAAAAATCTGCGCTTTCTGAGACACAAAATACACAGCTCAGCCTCGCCTCTTCATTATAGGTGCCAAAACAACACAGCCATCTTCACCACCAGTTCCCATTACCAGATGGGGGATCAGTTTTCCTGGAAGAACACATAAATATTATTTCTCCAGGAATAAAGACTTTCTTATTCAAACACAGGATCCAACTTCAGGCTATGTAGTCACCCTTCAGCACAGCAGACCAAACATCTGGCAGAATCAAGAAAATAGTTTCCATGGCTTTTAAAAGACACTTGAGGCTGATCACAGCTTTAATATGGAATATAGAATCACCAGGAATTCTCTGAGTAGAGATGAAACGTTCAGGGACTTTTCAAAGAAAGATCTCCATGCTCAAGCATTAGGGGAACTGCCTTGGCTGCTTTGTGGTTAAGATCAACTGTTTCAGAGCAGTGCAAGGAAGAGAGCAAACTCTTGGAACATACAAATGTGGGGAGACGTGACCTCCTCTCAGGAACAAGATAGCTTCCTCCTGTGCAACCAGCTGCGCATTGTGATACATGTCCAGACTTGATGAGTAGAGTTGGGAGAGTGGGAATATTTCCATGAAGGAAGCAAGGTAATTTCTGCTTTTCTTTGAAGTTTTTTGATCTCTGTTCATCAGGGACTCATGTAGATCACCACAATTAATACATGCCACCCCTCTCCTGTTCAGGGGCTCTTAGAGTCAGGAGTTGATCTTGTCCTATATTTTCTATTCCTGCTGAAAACAGGGAGGACCTTGATCACAGCTTTTTGTGCCTATGGTGAGCATTTAGATTAGACAATACTGTAATTAGGGACATGAACTGCATGTCAGCTGTGCATCTGCTCCCTTTTCTCATCTTTTCTGAGTTTGTCCCCAACCTCTTTCTCCCTGCCTCTCCCCTTTGCTCTGCTCTCACTTCACTACTCTCCCAGTTCTAAGACAGCCTTCTATCTTAGCTGCTTGTCTGCAGCATTCATCTACATTACAGAGGATCCCACCAGCTCAAACTCATTTGCCCTTAGATAACAAAGGGCTCATGAGAAAAATATATTCCCTTAGCTTGTATTTAGAAAAAGACATTTCCTACCATGAGTGAGAAACAGTCTCCACCAAGTTTGTGATGCATCCTCACAGCTACCAGCAGGACCCCACAGTGAAGCTGATTTCTGGGTAGAAGGGAAAATTGGAATTTTTTTGCTGGCAGTGGGTCATTTGCACCTTGTAATTGTATCCAACCAGCTCTAAATTTGCTTCAGAACTGGAAGAAGAGGAAGGGAGGGGAATGACAAGAGAATTAAAACACTTCTCCCTTTTTTTTTTTTTTTTTTTTTTTGTTATTGAAGGGCTACATTTCAATTCACCTTTTCTTCTGTCAAAATTTGAAAAATAATAAACCACACAGGGCTTCTTGAGGCTTTTTCCCTCCATTCCCCAGATATTCCCATAACACGAGAGCGTAAGCAGCATTTCACAGCTCCAGTGGAGTCCAAATTAGTTTTTCTGGCAACTAAATGCAGTGTCTCCTCCACTGCGCACACACGCACACACACACACACACACACACACACACATCGCCGCCTAAAGTATTAACACATCCTGCCTGAAGTGCAAAGCTAAGGAATCAAAAGGATGCAATGCCAGAATTAAAACTGCCTTGTAGTGTTAGAGCCCCTAAATGCATATTACATTATGTAATCAGCTTCAATTACACAATCTCAACTGTATTTCCAAGGAAATTGCTCCTTCATCTAGGGTGTTTCCTTAACAAGTGGCTCTGTCCTTATTTTATTTTCTCGTTGTTCAGTTAGGTGCTATGCACTGCACAACCCTTTTTTTGAAGACTTAACTGTACATTTCTTTCTCCTGTGGCTTTTTTTCTGGTGTTCATCACAAGATGGTAGTGCCTTTCTTAGCTGACCCTGCTTTATCTTCCAGAAATAAGATTTGTTATATCCATTCTAGAGACAAGAAAATGAGGCACTCAGGAACTAAGATCCAAAGGCATCTGACTAATTTTGGAAATTAGTTTCCAGTGTACTTAACTCACTCTGTGCAAGCACCACAGTTCCCAATATTTTCAGCAATGACATCTGTAAAATTCAGAGCCACGCCTTGAGACAAAGCAGGGGAAAGCACAACCCTAAAAATTAGTGAATTACTGCTGGGGAAAAGTAACTCATCCAACATCTCTTTGGAACTGCCATTTCAATAACCATGCAATGAGTATTTCTTCACCAGACCCTGACTCAGTGCAGGTTCAGTAAGTAAAGAGGCACTGGCCACACAGATGAATCTCTTTCACTCTGCTCTACTCCTGAGCACATCCAGGTTGAGCAGTGTAGAAGATGAAAATGCCATTTAAAATGTTTGTAACCGAAGACTTATCTATAAGAAATACAGAGATACCTAACAGAAGTTATCAGATTTTCACCACACTAATGCTAACCACAATGAGAAAAAAAAAAAAGCTGTTTTGATGCTACTGTAACTATTTTTGTGTGTGAGTGGAAGGGAGAAAGAAGACATTATTAGCTTGCTTTTCCAACACGTAAGAAAACTACATACTGCTCCATCTCAAATCAAACCAAAAGAGAGAAGACCAGGCACCACACTGTCAAGAATAATTGGCTGTGCAAACACAATTTAGAAAGCATCATATTTGCAGTAAAATATCTTGGAGTGATGATGAATCACATCCATGAGTCAACTTTGTCAAGTTTTTTAGGGGGAAAAAAAAAAAAAGCAGCCACCACACCAGTATTGTGAACAGCAGTGTCCTTTGGCAGACATGTGAATTACTCTTCCCACCATAATCTATCCCAGAAAGGCCTCTTTTTGTGGCCTGATTCCATATGGGGCAATCTAAGCAATGTGTAAATTTACTCAGGACTCCAAGTCCTCAGCGTGGAGAACAAATGATTAGACATCTGTGAAGATGAGATGGAAGACCAAAAGAACAGGAATTGTGTAGTGAGGAAGAAAAGATTGAGGATACACATGGCAGCAGTTTACTAATAGGTGAAAAAAAGAAGGAGTAAATTTTTTCCATGTCACTGACAGATACTCAGAGAAGTTATGGACTTAAACTGCAACAAAAAGAGATTTACTCTGGACACTGGCAAGAATGTTAGAGGAGTAAGTATTGCAATAGATTTGCCCAGAGAGAGGAAGATTACTTCACTGGAGGTTTCTAAGGATGGATTAGACAAACATCTGTCAGAAATGCTCAGATAGCTGTGATCTCTCCTTGGGAGCAGAGGTATAGGCTAAAGATATCCTGAATAAAGCTCAGTCCTCATCAAATTCCAGCACTGTGATCCAGAGCATGGCATGCTAGTTCTGCTCAGAGAAACATATAATATTACATTGTTTAACATTATATTTTACCAAAATATATAAATTAATTAATAAATATAAAACTTCAGCTAAGCAAACACCTAGTCTGCAAGATCTGAGACCATGTGGTTAATGTTTGACAAAATCGTAAGAAACAGAAAATAGGGGTTGATAATTAGAAGTTTGGGTAGGTCCTGCCAACAGCTGGTACTTTCAGTCTACATTGTAAATCAAGAGAGTTGTACTGATTGAAGAAGCAGTGGCTTGTGGAGCTGATGAGAAAGTCCTGGAATTACTTTTCACAAAAAAGTAGGGATGGGTGAGAACTCCAGCTCAGGGCCAGTTCATCCCAACGATCCCCTGAATTCTAATTTGATTTTCCTTGTGTATAATTGGCCTGTTCTCAGTCATCGGGTCTCTCCAGACCATGGGCTCTTTTATGTTGTAATGTTACGGACCCGCGGAAAGCCGACAGGAACCTCTCCGCTCATCCCGTGTGGCCCCGCTCTGCAGCAGCAGGACAGGACGGTCCTTCAGCACCGCGGAGAGCGGCCCCGGCCCCGTCCGACACCCTGGCACGGGAGCCGAGCGCCCCGGCATCCTCTGGGGAAAGGGGACA